ATATTGGCACCCTTTCCCAGAAATAGATTAGAAAGCAGGAAAATTTTTTAAAGATGGGGGTGGGCGGGGGAGAAAACCCACTCTGATGGGTTATTTCGCTAACGGCCTTAACTTTGTAATAAATAAAGATGGCAAATGGGAAGCAAATGCATAAACTGAAAATAAGCTGAGTGAATCATGGCACACAGTATGTACAGTATATAAATATTCATGTTAAATTACCTTTTACTCCGACTCCATGGTTCTCCTGTGTGCACTTAGGGCTGAGTGGTTTCCGTAGGCCTTAGTTACCAACACAAATGTGTGTGACTTTTGTGAGAGCTTGAGGAGTAACTAAGGACTATTAGCACAGGCCCAAATAATGTCGGATCTCAGTGTTAGCCCCAGAAGCTCAAGCACCCTCTCTGCTTTTGGCAAGAGAACAGTAATCCATCTCCTGGTCTTTCCTAGTCAATGGAAACTGAGCTGAGGGAGAAAATCCTTAATCTTAGCAACAGCAGGATCTGGTATTTGAGCTGCAGAGCTTAAAGAAAAAAAAAAAAAAGCCTTGTTGAAAAGTTCAAATCTAGGTAACCAGTTTCTGAAAGAGTCTTTTGTGTGAACTGGAGACAGGCTGCATGGGCAAAGAGGAGTGAGGGCCGCGCAGGGAGGTGCCTGAGCTTTCTGGAATGCGGGTGCGGGGTTGGTTCCCTTCCTGCGGGGAGAAGCGTGGCAGCCCTGTGAAGGGCTGGTACAGGCTATCCCAGTGCCCCATGGGAAAGCCAACAGGGGCAGTGAGTGTGCCCTGAGGTTCAGCGGGCTCAGAGGCCAACATTCCTTCCCTTGTTCTGCTCTGGCCTCCCAGGGACCGTGGGGTTGAACTACAGTCAAGTCCAATGGCCATGGTAACACTTACCTCCCTCCCCTGTGCTGCGTGGTGAGCCACTTGCCACAAAGGGAACTTTCTAAATGAGAGCTGTTGGAATTTCCTTACAAGGACACAGAGAGAGGCGTTGCAATCTTACTCCGCAAGCTATCCCAACTCGTCCCTGCCTACGGAAGGGTAGTATGTGGCACGTGTCGTTTGTGTGTGCTTGTGTGTGTGCATATCATGCTCGGTAAGTGTCTGAACGGAAAAAGGATCCTACACAAATTCTGTTATAGATAATGCCAGAATGACTTTAAAGTGTTAAGCCTGGGGCGCCTGAGTCGCTCAGTCTGTTAAGCAACCGACTTTTGACTCTTGATTTCGGCTCAGGTCAGGATCTCAGGGTCCTGGGTTTGAGCCCTGTGTGGGGCTCTGCGCTCAGCACAGAATCTGCTTGTCCCTCTCCCTCTGCTCCTCCCCACCCTCGTTCTCGCTCTCTCAAATAAATAAATAAATAAAATCTTCAAAAAAATTAAGTGTTAAACCTAGCTTTCTCCAATGCCTCATGGGCGCAAATTCATTACATCAGCATTTCCTTCACGTGAGGGTATATAGCCCACGAAGCTAAAACTTTCTAAGCATAGCTTTGGGTGTTTGTTCCAGTTAATTCAACAAGCACTTCTGGAACACCTATGATGAGGCAGGGATTCTGTCCAGAGCCAACACAGCTAGTGCAGAGAAGAACGGAGACCCCCAAGTCAGCCCAGGTTCGGATTCTGGCTCTGCTACTTGGACCTTTGAGACCTTTGGTAAAAATGCTAAAATTTTTGGTGCCTCAGTTTCTTCATCCATAAAGCGTTAGTAACAATGCCCCATAGGGCGGATGTGAGGATTCCATGAGAGAGCATGTCTGGAACTGAGGAGCCTGATGTGTGTTCGCTGGGATTACATCTCAGGTGCTACCTGAGGACACAGCCTAGCAGGGAGCCTGTGGGCAGAACAGAGCATCCTGGTGTGTGAGGTCTTGAATGGGGTGTGACCACAGTTCTGGGGAAGGGCAGACAACAGGGAAACTAGAGAGAAGAGTGGATGGTGTGGGGTGTGAGAAGGGCAGCCTTCCAGATGGAGGATCAGCAGGAGCAAGTGGAAGGAGGTAGGGACCTGAGAAGTTGTGTCAATCCACGGCACTTGAAGGTAGGAGAATTGGAAAATACTTCTCTTTTCTGTTGGTGTTAGAGAATCTTTGTGAAGTATCTCTGGCTTCCTATTATTGGAGTATTTATGGCTGTTTAAAATGAAATATAAAATTAAAAATTAAAAAATTAAAAATTAAATAAATAAAACATAAAATAGATTTCAAGAGAGAGAGAGAGCCATGCATTGAGTGCCTACAGGTTCTTTGTATCTGTGATTTCCTTTCATTTACTCCAAATAACCTCACAAGAAAAGTATTCCTACCCCACCTTAACAAATGGGAAAACTGAGGCTCAGAGAGGTGACACAGCTCACCCAAGTTCACACCATTAGTAAGAGGGGGGAACTGGGGTGCCAATCCCACCTTGATTGAGGACCTTTGGTGATAGGCAGTAGGAAGACAGGCTCCCTTCCCCATGCAAAAGGACTCACCTGTTTTCTGGATGTTTGTTAATCTGCGGCATATGCCTGAGGTAAGACACAAAATTTACAGAAATCTAGGCGCCATGACTGGTTCATGCTCACATCAAAAGTTAAGGCAGAAGGACCATGTGGAAGGTCCATTAATACCAAGATTGGGAATGGACCTATCCCTACAAGTCAGCCTCTTTCATGATGAGAGCTCATGTCATCTTTGTACCCTCTACATCCCGCACATACTGACTCATGGCTAGTGGAGTCCCCTTCTCCTGCCCCTCCAAGAACCCAAATAACCCTTATTCTTTTGAGAGCCATTACTTTAGTGATCAGTAGCTTGAATCACATTTTCTTTATAATAGCACGTTCACATGCAACCCGAAATGGCAAAGAAAAGATGACAAAAGTTGCAGGAGGTGGGATGGGTTCAAAGAAGAAATTTGAACATTCCTCTGGACAGGAGAAACAACACTCAGTTTTCTTTTTCTACCAAAGGAAGCACAAACTCATCGTTACTTGAGCATGGGTGAGGACCACATGTAAAATCCCTGTTATTCCACTTAGGCCCTGCTTCATACGCTTAGCCCTGAAACATTGCCAACTCTTTCACATTTGATCTAGAAAATAGAAATACTAAGTGTCATGGTTAACGTTCCTTAAATACTCAGTGCCGGGAACTGTGCCCTTAAGGTCAATAAGCCTTAGGTCACTGTGTTCTGTAATCAGCTCCACCACGCTGTGAAGTTTGTGCTGGATATCTTCCATTTGCCCTCCACCACCGTCTCTACCCGCTTCCACTTTGCTCTCTCCGCCCTGGGAGGTTGGTCTGTACAGCTTGTGACACCTGCTCTCTTGCCCTCTAGCTTCTCCTTGGGTTTGGCCAACAGGCAGCCTCAGGGGAGCAGGGTTTTAGAGAAAGGAAGGAAAGGAAGGTCAGGTTCTTTCTCTGTGAGGCCATTTCTGGTAGACTAAGGTCTTGGCTTTTCTCAAAGAGGCCTTTGCTAAGCACCTCTTCTCCCTTCGAGTTCCTGTCACTTGTCTCTTCCCTCTTTCCTATGAACCTGAGTTACCTCACTACCTTGTGTGTGGCTTCCTAAACCACTTCCACACATTGACAGCTTCCCTTTTTTGTAAATAAAACCTGTTCGAATGACCCTAACCCGAGTGCAGCCTCTATTTCCCGTCAGGATCCTGATATAGGTACTGTGATTATACCCATTTTACAGACAGGCCTTGGAACCAAGTAAAGCCACTTGTCCAAGGCCTCACAGCTATTCAGTGGCAGAACTGGATTTCAAAACCAGACCTGGTGAAGTCCAGACCCCACATTCTCAACTGCTATACTGGAACAGCAATAAATGGTTCTGGACAATGCAGGCAAACTGGGCATCCTAGAGACACAGCCTCATGTACCTCCTCATGGGAACGTGTGGTGGGCAGAATGGCACGGCGCAGATGGCTTGTACCCCTGTCAGCCTCTTCATCAGGCAGAGAGCTTACCCAAAAGAAAGTGGGCAAAAAGCAGACATCCTCACTGGGCTTGCTGCCCCTGCATCCTGGACTCTATGATATTGGGGCAGAAGACACCTGGTGGTACAGAGAGGCTGGGAGGGGCCACCAGACACATTTAAATCCCGGCTGGGAACCGTATTCCAGAGCCCCGTCAGCCTTTCTCTAATGGCCCTGGTTGAACCAAGAGAGGCTCCCATTGGGGCCAATAGATTAGAATAGGCTATGGTTGATGCTTTATTCCAAAAGGAAAATCAGGGCTCCATTTGACCCCCCCAACATCGAATTCATTCACTAGGCCCTAGGAGAATTCATAGCCGGAACTAAAGATGTCACTTGCATCTGGGCAGGACTGACCTCAGCATGCTGGTTTCGGTCTTCCACCTCAGGAAGCTGCATAATCTTTATTTAATTCTGCAACACTGAGCCTCCCTCTGCAGAGTGAGGAATTTGTCATCTCAGGCCTCAGATTAAGTGAAAAGAATTTTTTAGCTAAAATAGTTACGTATATACATTTCCATAAATCACTTTACCATAAATTAGGAAGAAGTCTACTTCCTCTGCCTAAAGCAAAAAAGATTTTAAGCGAGGATTCTCAACAGTACCTTCTTCCAAGTAGTTCTGGTACCTCTTGTGCCTGTCTTGGGATTCACTGTATTGAATTACGTTGACAGATCATCTCCTGCACTGGAAAGTGAGGTCCTTATAGGCAGATCCTATACCTCCTTCATCTCTCCATCCCTGGCCCAACACAGTGCCCGGCATACAGCAGGCACTCAATACATACTACAAGAGAAACACATGTGGATGCCCTCAGAACACCCTGCAAGGGCTGCCGTCGGAGTGTGTTATGCAATTACATGTTGAGTCATCAGCCTCATCCACAAAGGGAGACACCATCTTTTATTTAATTTTATACCTCCCATGTTTGGAATATCATGACTGCTCAAAACATATTTTGTAGGGAAGAAAGAGATGGAGGACACAGCAAGCAAGAAATAAAGCTTAATTGTCTCGGGCACCCTTGCGTTGTGTGGAGGTACTTAGACAGCTCTTTGGATTGGTGTCAGAGGGTTAAACCCACTGTATGCCCCAGTCATTCCATAGAGGACTGCATTTCCATCATGGAGTTGCCTTATAGAGAGAACAATGGAAGAGAAGGGTCTGATAAGCAGGATGCTAGTGGGGCTGGTCACAAGAGTCACAGCCTCTTCCTCACTCAAGTCAACTCCTAGTTATCCCTAAGATCTCAGGTCAAGTGCCCCTTCCTACAGGAAACTACCCCTGGCTCTCCAATAGCAGTCGTGTTGTTTTCCTTCGAAACTTCATTCTGTATGTAACTGTATATTCATTGGTGTGATCTTTTTGGCGAGTGCCTGACTCTCCTGAAAGTTCCAACAGTTCCATCTGTTTTGTTCATTATTCCATTCCCAGGACCAAGCATGAATCTTCCAGTTAGGTGTTCAGTAAATCAGTGCTGAATGAATGAGTGAATAAACAGATTGTCTCTCTATGCTCGACTCATATTGGACCACATTTTCTCATTCCTGGTCCATTGTTCTTTCTCTTAATACCAGCCATTTTAAATATTGTCTTTTATATGTGTGTAGGCATTGAGGTTTTCCTATAAACCAGTCACTCTGACCTGTCCTCACATCTGTTTACCTGGGTGCTGTCCCTGCAGGTGGCCTATCCAACATCTTGGTTACCTCATAAAAGAAAGCCATAAACTCTAACCCAGTGTTTATTTGTTTCTAAACCAGTGATTTTTTAAACATGCTTTTTGTAGAAGACCTCTTTTAAAATCTACATCCAACAAACTGTCGTATATCCAAACAATGGAATATTATTCAGTGATAACAAGAAATGAGCTCTCAAGCCATGAAAAGACATGGAAGAAACTTAAGTGCATATTGCTAAGCAAAAGAAGCCAATTTGAAAAGCCTACATGTTGTACGATTACAATGATATGACTGACATAGGGAAAACTATAGGGACAGTAAAAAGCTCAGTGGAATCCAGGAGTTCAGGGAGGGCTGAATAGATGGAGCACAGAGCATTTCTAGGACAGTGAAACTATTCTGACACTATAATGTGCATACATGGCATTATGGGTTTGTCAAAACTCATAGAATGTACAAGGAGTGAACCCTAAACTATGGACTTTAATAATAATATATCAGTATTGGTTCATCACTTGTAACAATAAACTATGGACTTTAATAATAATATGTATTAGTTCATCACTGGTAACAAATGTACCACACTAATGGAAGATGTTAATAAAAGAGAAAACGGGGTGGGGGATGGGTTGGAGAGGAAAAGGGATATTTGGGAACACTCTGTAATTTCTGCTCAATGTCTCTGTAACTCTAAAAGTGCTCTAAAAAGTCTACTAATTTTTTAAAATCTGGATCCTAGCTGGTCACTCAATGTATAAAATATAAGAATAGATGGGTCCTAGCTGAGGTAGGAGTGCAGTCCTTCCCACTTTCTACCTACAAACTCATCTCAGATCTCGCTTTCCTCCTTGTGGGTCCCTGAGATATGACTAAGGCTAGGCAGTTACATAAACTTTCCCTTGCCTACCCCCCAGCTCCCATCCCCACCCCCAGCACCCCAAGTGTGCCCTAAATAGTCTGACCTGACTCCTTGCTCTGTAGCCCAAGCTATTGCTCTGTAGCCCATTGCTATTTTAGAAAGGCAGGTGGTCTCCTTGTGGCTTCTCGTGGACCTTAGCACAATTTACCTGATTGAAACGTTACTCTTCTCACTTTGGCTTTTCCATTGCATTGGCTGAGAAATCCCAGTTTGGGCCCAGGTATCTCCCACAAATGTCTATCCAGGACCCGTGGGAATGGGAGACCATGGAGGAGTACAGACAGGAGGGAACATGGATTCCGAATGGGGTATATGTGAAGCCAGACTGTTTTCATATTCCAAAGTCAGAGCTGAGACTCCTCAGCAGTCCTACTTATAAACACACCACCAGTGCTAACAAAGAATCCAACAGAGAACTCAACAACCCCTTGAAGGCAAACCAGAACCTGATAACTAAAAGTGGTGACACCACAGTTACTGACAAATGTTTGCTGGGTGCAAGGGGAGTCTGTGAAATGCCTCAGGGCACCGAGACCATTAGGAGCCAGTTCCGCCAATGAATGGAGTGCTTCAGAGTAGCAGTTGTATCTGGGAGAGTTTCTGAAATAAGCCCTGGCTGCACCAGCCAAGGCCTCTGGGAAGGGAGGAGCAAACTCACCTTCTCCAGAAGCAGGGAGGCAAGAAGCACAGCATCTCCATGACTACCCAGCAAAGCCAGCCTCAAAGCCTTTCAGGAATCTCTGCTATTTGTGGAAACTGGATCGCATTCCCCAAAGACCAGCATTCCTACACCCTGTGTACTTTCCGTGGCTGCTTCTCTTTACTTTCCCTCACTCCAATTAAAAAGGCAAGAGTGGGCCCTTATCCTCCACTCATGCTGGGGACCCTCCATGACACTCACCTGGAATGCCCCTATCAGAGGCAATGCATCGCAGAGGCGATCCCAGCAATTTTCATTCCCGTATATTCACAGGTCATAATGTGAAATGTCATTAGCATACTCTTGGATACCTAATGGGATTGGAGGAAAAAAAATAGATCCTCATTGATGTGACCAATGTGCCAATTAAGGACTGAGGTCTTTCTTCTTTTGCTTTTCTGCGTTGTCATCCCAACACAATCTCAGGGGTAGGTGAGTGACAAGACAATGCAATTGCTATTGTATATTTGCCACAAAGAACACCCAGTTAGAAACCTTCCCACTGGGGCCAGCAGTGGATGTTAGTCTGCATTTTTTCGAGTAAAATAGGGGAAATGTATAGATTGGTGTAGAGTTTTTGGAAAACAATAGAAACTGAATTTAAGCTTAGATTACATTTTTATAGAACCTGAATTTAAGCTTAGCTTAAATTCTTAGAGAACCAACCCTCCTAACCAACTAACAAAACAAATAAAAAACATTCACAAGAGTCTGTGAGGTTTTCTGTTCAAATGGCCCTTAATGGGGCACCTGGATGGCTCAGATGGTTAAATGTCTGCCTTCGGCTCAGGTCATGGTCCTGAAGTCCCGGGATCGAGCCCCGCATCTCCCACATTGGGCTCCTGCTTAGACAGGAGTCTGCTTCTCCTTCTCCCTCTGCTCCTCCCCGTTTATGCTCACTCACTCTCTCTCTCAAACAAATAAATAAATAAAATCTTAATTAAAAAAAAGGTCCCTAATGATGTCTGTGCCCATACATTTGTCTTTTCTGGCCAGTATATCTCCATTATTCCAGAAGAGACACCACTTTATTTTTAGAATAGTGTCTCCAACATCGCTTCTTCTGCAACCCCTATCCAAATATGCACTTCTAGTGAGAACTGCCAATAATTGTATCCTAATTACTTAGCTGCAGGATGGGCATCTCAGCAAAAGCAGACCAATCAGAGTTCTTCCCGGCAGCATTCAGAATAGAATTGAAGGGAGGAAGACCCTTTTCCCTTTGCTGGGAAACTGAAAAAAGTGATTTCTGGAACTGAGGGCAGGTGTGGCTCCAGGGAAGGCTTTTGTCTAAAGGAATGAAGAGGACATGCAGAGAAAAGCAAAGATATGACAGGGACAACCCTGTGGACATTCAAGTCCTTCGTTTAAGGTACATGTGGTAGACTTAAATCATGTCTCCTCGTACCCACAACCCGCACAGTCCCCTCCCACATTGATTCAGGTCTTGGCCATATGACTTGCTTAGGCTGGTGGGACATCAGCAAATGTGATGTGATAGAGGCTTGAAAAATACGTACGCGTTGGGACCTACCCTGTCCCTTGCTGCTTTTAGAACTTAGTCAGCATGGGAAGAAACCCAGGCTAGCTTGCTGGAGAGAGGTGGCCCAGCCGATAGCCAGCACCATTTGCTGGACATAAAAGGAAGACCATCATGGATCATCTGACCCCAGTTATGCCCCATAAGGGGTACCAGACACGAGCAGAAGAACCATCAAGTTGAGCCCAGCCCAAAATGATGGTGCACAGAGTTATGAGCAAATGGAAGGGTGGTTGTTCATTTCACCAAGTTTTGGAGTGGTTTGTTGCTCCACAGTAAATAACTTCTGGGTCCCTGGGACCTTCTTGCTATCATGTAAAAAAGAGGAGAGTGGGTCAAGAAGCCATGTAGAAAGAAGAACCCGCGTGTCTCAAAGATCCCAGCTGTCCCAGCCAGCCCTCTAGGGTCACAGATGCAACACTAAACCCAGTGGACACCACATGGAGCACAGGTGAGTCTCCCACGTGAGTTGCCAATCCACAGATTCATAAGCAAATGTGTGTTTATTTAAACCTAAACTTTAAAAGACGCTGAGTTTTGGAGTGGCTTGTTATTCAGCAATAGCTAACCCCTCTAACTTTCTTGAAACCACTCATTTTTGCCTTTCTCCTGAAGCCACTGTCTTCCAGATTGTGCCCAATCTGCTGTGCAAGACTGTTCAGTGCATTCCTAATACCCAATCGCTCTTCTTCCCTTGACTGAAAAATATTGATTTTGTGTAGGGGGGGAATGTACCATCCTCTAAATGCGCTGTCCATTTCCCTTGCAGCTAGATGTGGTTATGTGACGCAGCTGAAGCCTTTAAGAGGGATAGGACAATCGAGGAGGCAGACCACATCTCTTCCACTTTCTACCTTCCTTACTAGAATACAGATGTGATCACTGGAGCCACAGCAGCTCTTTTGAGACCATGGGTTTTAAAAAAAAGAAAAGAAAAAAGAATCACAGAGATGCCAGACCTGATTTTGTTAGAGAAAAATAAGAAAAACAAAAAATTGGTTTTAAGACATCTGTTTAAAGTGAGCTGCTGCTTCACATAACTAAATTCGATCTTGAGAGAAATGAGTTAGATTTCTGTCACCAGTGATCCGAAGAGTCCTGATCAGTGATTTGGTCTTCCCCTGGGGAGTCCTGTGGCCCCCTCTGCATGCCATACCATAAGATGCAAGATGCGCTGGTCCCCCTTTCTCTCTGGCTCATGTGTAAACACAAAGGCATTTTCCTCTTTCACCTTAAAGTAGATAAGATAGGTAGATATTTTTGAAAAGTATTTCATTAAAACCCAAAGAAAATAATTACAAGAAATATAAACAGCATGAAATTGCCCTGTTCCCATCACACTTGATCCTAAAATCACCATTAAGCTCTATGAACCCTACTCTAGTCTCTTGAGGACAATGGTTCTCAAAGGAGAGTCACCAAACCAGAAGCATCAGCATTACCTGAGAACTTGTTAGAGATGCAAATTCCCAGGCCCCACCCCAAACCTACTGAATCCAGAGCTCTGGGGGCGGGGCTAGCAGTAAGTGCTTGAACAACCCTTTCCGGTGATTCTGATGTAGCCACTGTTTCAGAGCCACTACCTTATGATAAGTATTTGCCAATACAGTAAGACAAGAAGCTCCCACTCCTTTTCTTTAGACAGTATTGGGCAAATTCTAGGGTTTGAATCAAAGAGAATTTCGTGTCATATTGTGATTCTGCTACATTAGCTGTGACATCTGGGGCCACATTTGATTAACCCCTAGTGTCCCGTGGTCTTCACTTCGTTCACAGGTAAAATGCAAACATACTTTTTAGGATTGTTTAAGATGAAATGAGACCTGCAAAATCCTACCCACAATCAGGCCCAAGGCAGGTATTAAATAAAATCAGCTGACTCTCTTTTTAAAGTCTGCATCTCAGTTCTGTGGTCCACAGCTCAGTCCAGCAGCAAATGTCTGGCATTTGTAGCCGAATTACTTTCAAAAATAAAAAATAAGTTCCCTAAGTCCAGTTCAAATCTCCCAATACTTCTAAATACACCCACTTCAGCCAGGTGTTAAGATGGAGAGTCACCTTATTTCTTAACTGATTTGCTAGAATGACTGGCACTCGTCAGGCCCCGGTGGTCTGGCCTTTCCTGGCTGAGGCTGGAGGAACCGCCACCCCCTAAGGCATTTCCATCCTCCTCACCTCCAGGGGCCTTCCTTCAATCTACTTCTTTCCAATGAACCCTAAAGGACCTTATTTAATGGTATCATACTCAGAGTTAATGGCATTCAGAAACCATCAGCTGCTCAGAGGAACCAATTCAAAAACAGCTGAGTGTAAGGTAAATGCTTAACCATAGTTTTTTGTTTGTTTGTTTGTTTTTAGTTTACTGTTTTGAATAAGGAATCTATATCCATGATTAACAGATTCAAATATTATAAAAGAGGATATTATGCAAAGTTACTCTCTTTTGTACCTCTGGCACTTAGATCCCTACCCAGAGACAACTGTGCTTACTAGCTTTTTGGATAAACTTTCAGAAATAGTCTATATATGGAAAAATCATGGAAAAAAACAATATATATATAGTGAGATATATATATGTGTGTACATATGCACATGTACACACACATATATTACCTTCTTTGTTTTCCACAGAATGTAATATATTATACACACTGTCTGCACCAAGAATATGGAAATCATGGGCAGAGGGAGATTAACAAGAGACCTTCATGATCTTCAGAGTCCTATATTGGGAAGCCGGAGAGTTTGGATGATATCATCTGCAATATAGAAGAATCTCATCCTATGTCTCTGTGTCTCTGGCTACGCATAGACACTCTCTTGATGACCGTATCCGTGTGTGCATAAATGTGCACATATGTGTGCCTTACTCTGCAAACACACAAACAGGACCACGCCCATCTTTTGGGATCACTGTTCTCTATTACACCAGCCTGGTCACACTCATCAGTCCTAGTTTGGACTGCTAACCCCTGGGATGAATGGCCGCTAGGAGGCCCTGTGCTATCGACTGGCTCCCTGTTCACTTTTCTCACACCCAAGACTGTGTAGCAACATCCAGCTTACTGGGGATTCACACTTGACATTGCCCAAGCCTTAAAGCCCAGTCTGCCTGACAGCACACGTCCCCCTCCTGCATTCCTGACACCTGCTGACAAGCAGCTGATGGGATCTTAATCTGTCTCTCCCCCTTTTTTACAGATGGGAAAAACGAGACCCAGGCCTAGGCCCAGGGAAATTCCTAAAGGAACATGAATAGCGATATACCCTGGAATCAGGACTTTGGGATCGGCTTGGGCAAAGAGGGGTTGGGTGTCTAACGGTAGTAAATTCTAATCCTGGCTTCACGACAGGACACCTGTATTTTCTTGGTTCTGGAGCCTCCATTGGAAGATCTGTAAGGTAGGGTAATAATAATTACATAGAGAATAATTAGGATTATAAAACAAATATATGCATGGGTGCCTGGGTGGCTCAGTTGGTTGGGCGACTGCCTTCGGCTCAGGTCATGATCCTGGAGTCCTGGGATCGAGTCCCGCATTGGGCTCCCTGCTCAGCAGGGAGTCTGCTTCTCCCTCTGACCCTCCCCCCTCTCATACTCTCTCTATCTCATTCCCTCTCTCAAATAAATAAATAAAATCTTTTAAAAAAACAAATATATGCAAAACACCAAATAATGTATACAACAGAATAATCATTTGCCAAATTTTAAGTAGCGCCCCAACATTTCTTAGAGGTTCACCCTCTGAGTTCCAGCTTGCTTTCTTATTTCTGTAAACATTATTCAACTATATAGAGTAGCTCCTGCATCGGGGATACAAAGATGATCAAGATAGTGCCTTGGTCCTCGAGAAGCAGAAGGGGTGGCAGAGACAGCCAGCAAGTTCCTGCAGCCCAGGGGAGGCTTCCTTCCATGTGTGATGAGGCTCGCTGGGAACACAGGACACTTATCTACCTGCTGTTGGCAGTACAGAGGGCAGGGCCAGGGTGTGTGTTTCTGCTGGACTAAGGCCAAGTGTGGGGTGAAATGGGAATGCACATTTCCAGCCATATTTCCTCAACCATGCCCACGGATCCCACAGAACTACTCAGCGGCACCCCAGCATCCCTGGGGGGTTTTCCAAATACTATAGCCAGCACTGTGGCCACTTTCATTTCCGGGATTCCGGATGCACAAGAACACAAGAGTCTCCCTTCTCTGTAACCAGGCATGTCCTTCCACCTTTCACACTCAGGCCCCAGCGTGACCTCTAGATGAAGTTGCCAGAGAAATAAGCCTCTGAGGATAATTTGTCAAGCACGCGATTAGGCAGCAGGGCAAGGAATCTTTCCTGACTTCTGCAGATAGGAGCTTACATCACAGCATGAAATTTGTTTACCCTTATCTTAGCACACAAGAACAAATTATCCCACCCTTGTTATAAATCCAGCAGCCCTGCATCTGTGAGCAGGTTTCCACGTAAATCTCCAGCAAACGTTCCTTGGCTGACTGTTCACTTTGTTTGCTGCCTTTTCCTGGCCGCGGCTCATGGAACCGTTAGTCTCACTAGTGCACATGCTGGTTTTCTTCTGTAGAGATAACAGAAGGAAAGAAAGTGAGCAGCTAGGGTCACGACTGCCCCAGAAACCCCACCACCCACAGCAGACTCTCTCCCGGCTGAACTGCCATGGCTCCGTGGGCCAGAAAGATCCACCAAGCCACAGTGAGATCTGCCCTCAACATCCTGGGAGGCCAGAACTTGCCAGCCCTGGAGGGGACCCTTGCAGACTCACTGTGTTCCGGACGGTTAGTATGAACAGATGGTCCTGAGTGGGGTGAGGAACCTGTCCAAGTGGGTTTTAAATGGCCTCAGCAGCCATTTAAATAACATGGGTCAGGCAGGGAAAGGGTACAGCTAACAGATATGTGATCATCAAAGTAAACATCCTTGGCCTGGATGCCTAGACCTCAAAGACAATAGGATGGCTTAGTACAAATTAATAATAATAATAATAATAATAATAATGATGATAAATCATTAACAACAACAGCAATAGCTACAGAGCCCTTACTTTACAGTACAGGGCTCCGCAGGGCTTGGGGCTAGGTTCCCTGAGTGTAATCCGCTAGCCTCAGCCCTCCAGGTATATGACCCCACAGTGCTCACAGTAGTCCACAGTAGCTCACGGTAGAGGGGGGCGCTGTTACAGCTAGGGACCTGAAGCACAGAAAGGTTAAGTGAGATGCTCAGGGTCACTCAGAAGTAAGAGGTAAGAGCTTGATTAAAACAGGCAGTCAGACTTCAGAGCCTATGTTCTAAGACAGTACTTCCTAAGCGCCAACACACACAAGAATCATCTGGTGACCTTGTTCAGATGTAGATTCTGATTCAGCAGGTCGAAGTAGGGGCCTGAGATACTGCCTTTCCCACAAGCTCGGCTCCCAGGGGAGGCCCATGCTGCAAGGTCACAGACCACACTTGGAGGAGGGGCAGTTGGACCCAGGACCCAGCACTATACAGTGGAATGGGAGCACCTCTGTTGGTCCACCTACTCTTTGTTACCTGTCCACAGAGAAAGAAGAACAAAAATTGGGAGTGAGCTGCTAGACATTTTATAACTATTTGACAGTTATTTTATATCTGCTAAATCTAGTAGCAAAAGTTAAGGCTTGTACATCATTTTATTATTTTTACTGCATTCATCTAGTAAATTATATCAATGTTATTTTACAAAGGTATTACACACAAAAAGTTAGAAATTGTAAACCAAACCAGGAAACAAAACAAACAGCCTGGTCCTTCCCTACAGATAATTTGAAAATCACTGCTCAACACTACTATGATGTACTGATTCCCTCATAGATGAAGAGTCAAGG